AAAAGAAACAAAGAAGGACATATAATGGTAAAAGGATCATGCAATAACAGGAGTTAATGATCATAAATATGTACGTACCCAATATAGAAGTACCCAGATACATAAGACAAGTTCTTATTGACTTATAAAGAGATTTGGACTCCTACACAATAATAGCAGGAGATTTTGACATCGCATTGTTAATATTCGACAGATCAATCAGATAGAAAATTAATAGGGACATCTGTGATTTGAATTTAGACCTGGAATAAGTAAACTCAGTGAATATTTATAGAATTCTCCACCCCAGGTCTACAGAACATACATTTTTCTCAGTATCATATTACACCTATTCTGAAAGTGACTGCATAATTAGACGTAAATTACTCTTCAGTATTTGCATTGCATCTCACAGACTTAAATGAAATATTGGTTAACTGTTTGTTATTTTTTTCCGTTATTATTCCCTGTCTCTGTTAAGTACAATTATTGGCATAAAAGACGTTTTTAATACCTTTTTAAGATTGCATTCCAGCCTGGGCAATAGAGCAAGAATCCTCTTCTCTCTCCCCCTTTTTCTTTCTCCTTCTTTCTTTCAAAAAGAAAAAAAAAAAAAAGATAGAGAAGATAGAGATAGGATAAGATAAAAATGGCAAAAGTAACCAGAGTCAATAGAATCTCCTTTTTTAAAAATAGCATTTTTTTTCTTTATCTCCAGGAAACCCTAATATCCAATTATTAAAAATATGCAACCCAAACCAAATAAAAATATTTGAGAGTGAATTTTACAATGTCAAATTTTAAAAACCTATCATTGTATCTTTTATAATACTAAAAATTATTTTGGTATTACCATTACAGAAATCATACAATTCTAGAACTAGAAAGGACCTTGGCAAATATGTAGAAGACTCCCGTTCTCTCTTCCTCTTTCTCTTTCTCTTTATTTCTCTGTTTCATTCTTTTTTTCTTTCTTTCTCTCTTTCTTTTTTTCTTTTTCTTTCTTTCTTTTTTCCCAAAAAATAATTTACATTATTAAAATTTTTATATTGGAAACTTAACTCATTTAAATCCAAAGATGATTTAGCTATTTTCAGATTAGTGGACTTTAGTGTGTGGTACATTAAAAAGGAAAGAGGCCATTGCTTAGGAAATTCTGTAGTAGACCAAAGCAAAACAAATAACAAACAAAAAACAATATAGATGTTATCACTGAAAACAAGATTTCTGCACTGAGAGAATTTTGGTTATATGATTTGAAAAGATAGCATTTTAATCCCCTATATTATCTAAAACCTTAATCACACATTTGCTTATTATTTCTGAGCTAGGAGATGGTATTGGTACAGTAAGCTGTTTGGTACCAAATGTAATCTAGGGATTAGTGAAAGTCAAATCCCCTATGCATTTGTCCTTGAAAATCCGTTTGGATTTTCTCTATTGGTGGCCTCACTTTGCTATAGTTAACTAGAAGGTCACATCTATCTTGGTGGATGTCAAGCAACTTTCCTCCCTTGGGAAAGATGAGGGGGTGATAGCAGGGGTTTTTTAGTATGAAATTCACAGGTAGGGACAAGCATAAGTCCTTGAGACAGCTGTGTCAAGATTTTATAGATCATTTTGTACAATTCTCCACTTTTGTGCTTTGTATATTTCTGGATTTCAAAAAAAATAAAAAACAAAAAAACGTTAAGCTAGTTATAATCCTCATTCAAGTAGAAAATGCAAATTGTTGATTTAACAGTATCTACTAAAAACAACAGAAGTTTTTACCAGTTTTGAATTTTATATTGGCAGGCACAAGGACCTGAGAAAGTATAGCAGCCATGATTTAAACCAGGTGTGTTTGACTCCAGCAGTGAGGCTCAAGGCTTTTTGCATTGTTGTATGGTGCTTTAGGCCCAATAACTGCAAACCTCCATGCTTCTGATACAGCATCAGGCTTTAAAATTTTTTTTTTAATCTTAAATGTAAAATATTCCAACATCATTCAAAGTTTAAGATAGCAACAGTACATTCCAGCGACTTAAGATTTGTAGGATGCTGTGTATATGTAGAGAGGAAATTAGGTATTTTATATAGATTTTCTTTCATTTTCCTTTTTAAAATCATAGATGATCTTAAAGTGTAATATATGATAAAATAATTCCTGATTTTTAAAAGCTTACCTATATAATTTTATTTATTTCAAAATGTTAAATATCACTGATACAAGGAAGAATGGTGGAATTCTGAATTTATGGAATAAAATATTGTGTATCTGGTGTGAGTTTTTAACAATTCCTAAACTTCTTTGTTATTTGAAAAGAAGGAAGGCAGTTGAATCTATTTTGACACACCTACACATACGTACAAAAATTTTTTAGGATGTTTCATTATACCTGATTTTGTTGACTTTTCTAGCTATGCCAAAGATATTTCCAATTATTGCATAAATAGATAATGAAAGATGGGATTTATTTTCTTCTACTAATTAAAGCTGAAGTCATGAATTGTTATGCTTGGAGCAGCTGATGTGAGACTTATTGCTCTTAAGAAAACAAAACCAGTGTAGCTTATTTATACCATTGGTACTACAGTTTTTAAACTCTGTGTGTGTCTCTTCTATTCATGGAAAATTTCTGAAAGAGTATATAAAAATAGTTGATTATAATTATTTCTAGAGTTGAGGTAGAGAAACCTTAACAAAATTTTATATCCTGTCATATTGTTTTAAATTTTTACCATGTGCACATATTATTTTTATAGAAAAAAATCAATAAAAATTAAAGGTGCTTTTCTATTTTTGTGTATATTTTTCCAGTACAGACTCCACTTGGAATTAATGATCCAGGATCAAAACATAGTGTAGTACAAGAAAGCTGACAAAATGACTAATTCATTTATTTGGTGACTTAGTGTTTATGCCTTCTTGGAACCTTTGATTAGAAGCTGAAGATATAATTTGCCATCCTTTCTTATCTTCAGTTTCTACCCTGCTTCCTTCCATCTCCCCCACCTCATCACTGTTAATTTCTATTGTATAGTGCTTCAGACACTAACCAATTCTCTGATGCCAGCTGTGTATCCAATAATTCAATTCTGAAGCTAACTCAGGAGTTAGCATCAGGCCTCCTCCCCTCCCCACAGATCAAGGGCTTAATCTCACAAGACTGCCCCCATTTCAGATGATACCCTCAATATCATGCCCAGGCTACTCAGATTTCTACCTGACTACAAATTTGGAGGTTCAAGGATCCTTCCTTGGGTTTGATAATTTGCTATAATGACTCACAGAACTCAGGAATGCACCTTACTTACTATTAGTGACTAAACTTTATCAAGGAGTGAGCGGCTTTGTCAGCATTTGTAAGTCACACAAGATCCTAAGGTTTTAGAACCAAATCATTGGATATTTTACCCTTTTCTCATTTTAAATATGAAGAACCTGCATCCTAACTGATGTTCTTTTTTCTAATTGCAAATACAATTATTAGCAGATCCGAGACGAGAATCTTAGAATTTTTATGTCCCACTCAATGTCCTTTAAAAGAATTTTAATTATTCTTTGTTGCTCATTCAGAATCTTTGTTTAATAGACAATGTTCTAGTTAGAAATGGGAGGCCACATAGTATGATGGAGTGAAAGCTCCTCAGTGGTATTTTGAAGCCCATTGGCTTCTTCAGTAGTGACAGAAGCCCCAGGCCTGAAGCCCCCAGCTTTAAATAAATCCCTCATTTATCCCAAGATGATGTAAAAATCTTTCTTACCTTTTTTTCTGATATAGCATAAAAAATGGTGGGAAAGACTGCACAGGCACCTTGTCTTATGAGTCAAACAAATCTGAGGGTAAATCTTACCTTTGCCACTTACTGTGAAGTCACCTCTTCGAACCTCCTCTTTGTCATCTGTTTTGAGGATTGAATTAGGTCATGAATGTGAGGTATCTTGTCCAGGGATGGCACATATTAAATTCTTAACTGTTCCCAGCTCAACAAGCAAAATCGGTAAATATGTGTATTCCTTTGTCCAACTGATGCCGTCTTTGATACCTTCTCCAGGCTGCTATTTATTCTTCTCTGAACCTAGATGTCTTGGTTGGTCTTTGGAAGTAACAGTTCATGTACTCATTCATTCAGCAGTCATGCAGACACCTCATTTTGTATCTCTTGTACATCCAAATACTATAGGCCATAAAGTGAATGAAACTTTATGCTAAAATTTTCTAGTATCTGGAAATTGCTTAAAGATGTTTATGAGTGAATAGATTTTACCTAAGATAAATTTATGTTCTCATGGGCGACATAGCACATTTTTTTTTTTTTTCCATCTAAAGGTGGTAGTAGAGTTGCACTTAAAATGCTTCGAGAGTATCAGGGTGAGAGTGATAGATTCTTCCATTCTTGCCACCCCATTGAGGAAAGAAACACTTGCACAGAAAAAGAGATTTAATATGGTTAAGTCTCGAAAGGAGATGAAGATGAAATCATCAAAACAAGTAGAGCAAAGAGCATTAGTAAAGACATTATCATAGCATATAGCTGTTATGTGTCATATGCAAGGAGGGAAGATTTGATTGGGGAGGTGGGCTGCTGGAAGGTTGTCTAGGGTTTAATGCCATCATAGAATCAGGTTTTGGTTGTATAAATCTTGAAACACCAGGCAAGATTGATAAATAGGGCGGTTTCAGTGCTTTGTAACACTGAACTGTGAATGCTTTTATGGCTTTTCTTCTTTATTTCAGCCTTTATCTAGGAAACCAGAAGACCCAAAGTAACTTGTCTTTGTTTTTGTTGTCTGGTCTGTTGTTCTCCTTTGTTAGTATGAGCAGTTGAGGTTTGACTTTATAGAACCATGATACATGCATTTTTTCCGTTTATGCGGAATCATTGATAAAACAGGAAATGTACTTGAAAACAATGGCCACAATAGTCCATACTTCAGTAGTAGTTGATTTCATTGCCACAATAGAGCTAATCAGAACACCCAACCCCTGTATTTCTGAGTAATACACTTCATGGTTATCTTTTTGCCTCCACAGAAATAGAAAAGTTTCAAAAAGGAGAAGGCAAGGATGAAGAAAAGTACATTGATGTGGTGATTAATAAGAACATGAAGCTGGGACAAAAAGTGTTAATTCCTGTAAAACAGTTCCCTAAGGTAAGACAGTGAGGTCTACACTGCAGGTATTTTAACCTGAATCAAAGGGGAGCAGATGTTTAATTTATATTCTGTTTGATATTTTCTAGAGATGTTTTCTCTTAGCATCCCCCACACGCACTTCTAAAGTTAATTAAAAACTTAGTAAATTTAGTCATTCTGTATTTTCCCTTTAACTTTAGTATGAGTTAGAGATTCTTGAAAATACATCCTTTTGAGTCAAACTAGCAATGCGACTTTGGAAAACCTATTCAACTTCTTTACACCTCAGTTTCCTCATTTGTAGTATGAGGTTGAATGGTATAAAATTAAATGAGATAATCTGTGTTAAATGCTTGGCACATAAGTGTTCAAAAATATCATTGTTTATATTTTATTTAAATTTTACCATTTTTCCTTTCTTCTGAACATTCATATACATGATTCTTGCATACTGTTGTAAATATTAGTTCATTTCTTTTTATTGATGAATAATAATTTGTTGCCTTATTATACCATTGTTGTTTATTCATTTATCTGGCTACTTTTAATTTTTTGGCTATTATAAATTGCTGTGAGCAGTTTTGTATGAGTTGTGTCTTTTCTTTTTTAAAAATTTTGTTTTGTTTTAAGTCCCAGGTTACACGTGCAGGATGTGCAGTTTTGTTATATAGGTAAATATGTGCCATGGTAGTTTGCCCCATCACCTAGGTATTAAACCCCATATCCATTAGCTATTTATCCTGATGTTCTCTCTCCCCTGCCCCCATGACAGGCCCCAGTGTATGTAGTTTCCCTCCCAGTGTCCATGTGTTCTCATTGTTCAGCTCCCACTTACAAATGAGAACATGTGGTGTTTGCTTTTCTGTTCATGTGTTAGTTTGCTGAATGTAATGGCTTCTAGCTCCATCTATGTCCCTGCAAAGGACATGATCTCATTCCTCTTTATGGCTGCATAATATTCCATAGTGTATATGTACCACATATTCTTTATCCAGTCTGTCATTGATAGGTATTTGGGTTGATTCCATGTCTTTGCTATTTGTACAAGTTGTTTCATAACCAGATATGTGTGTTACTCTTTATTAAAGACCTAGTATTGAAAATTGTTGTGTATTTAGTATTATAAGAAATCGCCATACTTTTTTCCAAAGCACTTGTACCTTGTAACATTTCCACAAACAATGTGTGCATGTTGTAGTTGCTCCATACCCTCATCAGTGTTTGGTGCTGTCAGCCTTCTTTATTTTAGCCATTTTGATGGAATATTGGTATCTTCCTGTGGTATGAAGTTGCATTTTCCTTCTGATTAATGATTTTGTGCAGTTTTTCATATCCTTACTGGCTCTTCATGTATCTTCTATTGTTGTGTCTTTTCAGACCTTTTTCTGTTTCTAAATGGGCTGCATGTCTTTTTATCATTAAGTTGTGAGAGCTTTATATATCCTGAATATGCATGTTTTGTTAGATACATGGTTTGCAAATATTTGGCTCAGTCTGTTATTTTTCCTAATACAGTCTTGTGATAAGCAGAAATGTTTAATTTTGATGACATCAGGTTTTTCTCTTATGGTCATTGCCTTCTATGAACTAAGAAATCTTTGCCAACCTCAAGGAAATGTTAGAGTTCTTTGTAAGTTATAAAGATAATCTTCTATATTTTCTCTAAAAGTGTTATTTTAGCTTTTACTTTTAGGTCTGTGATACATCTCAAATGAATTTTTGTATATGGTATGAGGTGGAGGTACAAGTTCATCTTTCTTCCCATATGGTTATCTAGTTTTTCTTGCACTATTTGTTGAAAGATGTTTCCTTCCACTGATTGTTTTGGTGCCTTTGATGAGAAAATCAGGTGAGCATGTAGGTGGGTGTGTATTTCTAAGCTTTCAGTTCACTACTTTTATTCTATTTATGGATCCTTATGCCAATACCACACTGTCTTAATTACTGTAGGTTTTTACATAGTGAAACATGAATTTAGGTAATGTAGTTCCCCTGCCTTTGTCCTTCTTTTTCAGGATTTCTAAGATATTTTAGATCCTTTACAATTACATATAAATTTAAGAATTTCTATGTTAATTACTACAAAACCATCTGCTGCGATTAGAATTGGAATTGCATTGCATCTGTCGAGCAATTTGTGGGAGATTTGACATCTTAACAATATTGAGGCCTCATTTAATTTCTATCAACAGTGTTTTGTACTTTTCAAGATAGGAGTTTTGTATGTCTTTTGTTAAACTTATTCCAAAATATTTTGTGTTTTTTGACACTATCATAAATTGACTAGTTTTAAATTTCTATTTCCTAGTATTTTTCCTAAAATTTTGAATATTAACCTTGTCTTCTGCTACCTTGCTAAATTTAAATTCACCTATTCTAGTAAGTTGTTTTGTACATTTCTTAGGATTTGTCATGCATATAATTATATCATTTGCTTAAACAGTTTACTTCTCCCTTTCCAGTTTCTATGCATCTTATTTTACTGTCAATATTTTGGCTAATATCTCCAGTATAATGCTGAAGGCAAATGAGGAGAATAGGAGTTATTCCTGTTTCTAGTCAAGGAGCAAAGCATGCAGTTATTTTAGCATTAAGAACTATATTAGTTATAGATTTTTGGGGGGAAGTTTGTTATTTGCTAGGTAGAGGAAGTTCCCTTCTACTTTAACTTTACAGGGAGTTCTGATCCTGAATGGCTTGTAAATTTTTTTGAATGCTCTTTCTACATCTATTGAAATAAATATAAGGTATTTCTTTATACTGTTTATATGGTAGATTTTAATGATTGATTTTTAAAACTAAAGCCTTTGTATTCCTGGGCTAAACCCTACTCAATAGTGACATATTATCTGTTTTATATATTCCTGGATTCAGTCACATCTTATGTTAATGAGTGATACTGACCTGTACCTTTTTTTTTTTTTTT